GCAGAGCCTCGCCCGGGCTATGCCTATTTGGGGAGCCCGGTTTGTTTTTGAGAGCACTTGTACTGCCTTATTTCTATTTGGTTGGGAATTCCCGCTTCTTAACATCTTCGTCTATATGGTGTATATATACAAAAATTATACTAAAGACAGTAATAATAATAATGATAGGACGTCTCCTCCTCCGGCCCTCGATGAAGGTAGCCCTGACAAAGAAAAGAATATCAAGAATTAAGCTAAAGAATAATTATATATATATAATATCAAGTTGATATTAAGACTAATTTAAAGTATAGCAAAAAGACGAAATAATATAAGTAGAAGGGGGGGGGGTGGACGAAACCTTACCCGTTTCGAGTCAGAAGCGTTTCCTGCGTTTCCATACTGTTGCTTTGTTCAGTGAATATTTATCTAAATATTTGGATTGACAATTTTCATATAAAAATCTATGATGTTCCTTCTTAACCATTATTTTCGCTTAATGTAAAACACCAGAAGGTATGTGTGAATGTGAAGTCAAGTGGAATTCATTCGAACACTTTATTTACCGAGTGAAAAGTAGCAAAGTAGTAATTGTTTTCAGAGTTATCTAGCATGTTGATGTTCTTTCTCTGCAATGTCTTTATAAATAATTATTGCATAAGAGTATATGAATTCTTTCTATGTATAGTCTTAACTTACGGCAAACGGCCTAATAGGCATTAAGTAGAAATATAATCCCTAACAGACCTTTTCCCGAGTTGAATATGCTCTGCACATGCGCATTACAGACTATGGGCGGAGCCATAACCATGACGTCACACTTGGACAGAACAGGCAGCAAATACATTGTCCTGACTAAGGCATGACAACATAAAAGGCCAAGGTTTCGGTCAAAGCTTTTGCTGTTAGTGCAACTGATAGCTATTTTTATTATTATTATGTTTTTATGTCTGGTGAAGTGCAAGTTCATAAACGCCCATGTTGGGCCTCAGACCACCTCTCTCATTCAGTGACAGTATCTGTGACAAGGGCCACACTTGAGATCATTAACATTATGCAGTACCGTATGGATATATATTTATAATGAATATATTTAGATGGACATGAAGCAGAAACAATACAAAATTCTCTTCTTCCTCGACCTCTGCTTACAGATCTCGGCCATGATCATCCACGTTCGAGACACTGACGGGATCATGAGTTCTGCTGAAGCACAACCGACGGACACAATCTACATGCTCTGGGTGAACATGATGATAAAAGGCATACCCGTATCTGAATATTGGGCACTCGAGTTTAACGGGGAGCGTTTAAGGGACAGCAAAGCAACGGTCTCCAGCTACGGCATTAGGGACGGAGACTGTGTGGATGTCAGATATACCGTGGTGTTCGAAGCTATGACTGGGTTTTACGTTAACGTTGTCCAGCCGAATGGGAAGGTTATCAGGCTAGTGGCGGCCGAAGCAGTGCCCGTGATAAAAATCAAGCACGAATTGGCACGGGTAACGGGTGTGAAGGCGAGGAAGCAGCAGCTGAAGGCGGGCGGCGAAGACATGAAGGACGAGAAGATGCTGAGAGACTATGGCATCACCGGGGATGCTGTTGTGTGGATGGAGATCGAGGGCGAGGCTGGAGACAGGAGAGAGAAAAGAAAAGAAGGGGAAGGAGCAGGAAACGACAGCCTGAAAATTGTGTTGTTTTATGTTTGCCCTCTGGTATTATTTTTTCTCAGTCTGTGGCTAGTCAATTAACGTGGGAATAAAATCCTATAAAGCTACTTTTTGCATTTTCTCTCCCCCCCTCTCTCTCTACATCTATGTACATAGGAAAGTCAACAATTTATCGATATAAATCAAAACGAAAAATAAAAAAGAGGTCTGCCATAGACATGATGAATGATTAGAAATGAACTTACATACAAATGATACACAGTGATATTTCATTATATCAAACTCGTATATCAATATGATAATAAAAACATGAAAAGAAAATAAGTAAGCAGTGGCATTTTACAACTAAATCGGGATTTTCTCACTTCTAAATACTCAAGGCTGTTCTATTTCTCACTAATTTATCCACGACGCACATACAGCCACGTTGCCTAAGGAGGGAGCCACAAAATAGAATCAGGTGTATACTTAAACCGCCAAAGAATATGAACAAATCAGCGACACACCTGCAGATAATTATTTCTTGGAATTTAACATCCTAAAAGTTAATAAAATCATTCAATACCGCAGTGCCTTATATGCTGATAAATGCTTACTCAGCCAAGATAACGCAGTGTCTGAGAGTAAGACATCGTACTAAATCTTTACAAGAGACTAGAACTGATAAATTCAAATATCTCCTTAAAAAACACTTATAATCACTCTCTCGCCTGAACTCAAACTAAATTCTCCACATACAAAAGCTTCACGGTCCTGCCATGTAATTAATATCATCTTAGGGATGAATAACAACGCATGTTTTCCTAATATATAGGTGTAAGCACAGATACCTCTAGCGCCACTGTGTAGGAGACTGAATGTAATTTTCAGTAATATAACTTTTTTCCTCCCTGTATGAGGACATGTGTGTATGCACTGAGCTTTAACAAACTAGTCTCGTTAACATATGTTGTATTACAATGCAGTGTATTTTATACTGCTTGTAACGTACATGTAATAGTCAATTGTGTTCCTGTATATTTATGATTTATCTTGGTTAATGTTTGTATTCCTGTTATGCATTTCTAATCGGCGTTTATAGCCATTCCACTTACATATTGTTATGATATCTCTCATTTCCCTCTCACCCTCCACCCCGAATTTCCTTCTAATCCTTCTCTTTCACTTCTCTTTCTCTTCCACTCTCCTCCACGCCCTCCCCCTTCGCTCTCCTCCATTCACCCGATGCCATTGTCATGCATCTACACCAATGGCTTCTCCCTTGAGATTCTACTCGACTTTCAGAGGCTCAGCCAATCCACTGTATCTCTGCAGATTATAACCATTATGCAATTACTATTTGGCTAAATTAACGTTGCAATCTGAATATGAGTCTCTGTTCTCCTCCTCCTTCTCCACCACCTCTCTCTTCTCCAGTTTCTTCTTATCCTCCTCCTCCACCACCACCACCTCCTTCTCCTCCTCCTCCCCTCCTTCTTCTTTCAGTCTTCCCCCCCCCCTCCTCCTCCTCTCACGGGTCAGCAACGTAGACCTTAACATCTATAATACGCAAAAGGTCATACATACATACATACATATATATATATATATATATATATATATATATATATATATATATATATATATATTTTATATATATGGGACAGCAACCATCAAGCTCCACACGGACACCGATAAAATCCCAGTTAAAAAAGGTGATGGATAGGGCAATACCATCTCACCAAAACTGTTTAAGAAGCTAGAATGGAACGGAAAGGGTATCAAAATAGGAGACGACTACCTAAGTAATCTAGGATGATAGTGTTATGATTGGCGAATCTGCAAATGAAATGCAGCAACTAATAAACGATCTGAATAGAGAAAGTCTGAAAGTCGGACTTGAGATGAGTAGAGTTCAATTCGAACAGATACATGTACAAGGCAAAGAGGAAATAAGCAACGCCTCAGTCTAAGCTGATGCGGATGTCCTCCCAGTTATGGCCTATGGATCAGAAACATGGACTGCAACCAAATTACTGGAGAGGAAACTAATAAGTGCCCAGAGAGGGATGGAGAGGTTGATGCTGGGAATTAGTCTAAGAGATCGGATGAGGGCGACGTGGATCAGGGAACTGACAAAAGTGGAAGATATACTTGGGAGCATGAAAAAAAAGGCAATGGGCAGGTCATATATATCGGATACCGGACAGATGAACAAAGAAGGTAACGGACTGGGCTATAGATAACATAAAGAGGCTAGGGGCCACACCGGTGACAAGATGGCGTGACCAAATAACGAAATTTGGGGGCCAAGACTGGAAACAAAAAACGCAAGACAAAGTTGGAAAAGATTGGGATAGGCCTATGTGGACTGATTCAGACTGAAGATGATGATATGTGTCTATAGATGTATATATATGTATATATATGCATGTACGCATCATGTATATGTATGTATACATGCATATGTATTCATATATGTGAGTATATATATATATGGATGGAGGTATTTATGTATGAGTATGGATATATATGGATACACACACACATATATTATCTTCTATCACCTGCAAATCCGCGTGGGCGGTGTGCTGCCTGAGGGGGAGAACTTCCCCGAATGTGCGGCGTTGGGGGAGTGCAGACAGAGATATGTTGTTCTTATTGATAAGATTACTAAATCTTTTCTTTGTAAAATATTTTTTAACCAACCCGCAGTCTTCACGACTGTGTTAGTCTACCACTTCATACTGTATATATATATATATATATATATATATATATATATATATATATATATATATATATATATATATAAGTGAAATATATATCATCAATGTATACACACATATATATGTATTTATATTCATATGTATATCAATATATATATGTATGTATGCACGTACACACATATTACATATATATACTTATATATATGCATATATATATATATATATATATATATATATATATATATATATATATATATATATATCGTCACCTTCATAAAATAATTGCCTAAGTCATTTCTTCAACATTTTGGGAAATCGAAAAAAACTTTCTCATTTTCTTAATTTTGATATCAGTGCAGTGTTTTTCATTTTAAAACTTCTTGATAGATGTACAACAAATTATTTAAGCAAGAATATCAATAGGTGCACCACATCAAGAAGAACTGACTTAGGCAAAAATCAAGAAATCGCCAAAAAATGACTTAGGCAGTTATTTTATGAAGGTGACGATATATGAATATATATATATATATATATATATATATATATATATATATATATATATATATACATATATATACATATATATATATATATATATATATATATATATATATATATATATATATATATATATATATATATATATATATTGGAATGGAGAAGCCTCGCCGCTGAAGCATCCATCGCAGTACCCATACGACCTCCCAACGGTCATGGGCAGTGATGATGGTAATGATGATATATATATATATATATATATATATATATATATATATATATATATATATGATTCTATATTTAATATATATGTATGCACACAGACATATATAAAACATATATACACACACATATATATAGGTGTGTAAATGTGAAATATTGATTCAGAAGAGAAGGCTGTTGCGTGTCTTTTCCTTGCAGTATCTTGCAACTAT